TTGAGGTTGTAGAAAGGAGAAGGAATCAAGCAAGAAAGGAAAGTCATAGTTTCAATTTGCAATTTGGGCTTTCGAAGTCCCAGCTAAAGATCCATACTGAAGTGCCGAAGAACAAAGACATGAGAATTTGCCCATGCGCGGTTTGAGCTGGCTATAACTTACAATTTGGACTTGCAATTTGGGCTAACTATGTCACAACTTGACGAATTCATACAATCATTCAAAGCATAGAATACAAACTGATACATATTTCAATATGTGAGGGTACAAAATGGCTATAACTTATCTCCAATTGAAAAGACTAAATATAACATTATCTAGAATTATAGTCCCGCAAAAATTATCGCTAAATGAACAGTGTCAGACCATCTTCATATATCATCTCCGACCGAATGGGCTAAATATAACCCCTTCAATAATTTATTAGTTTTAAGTTCATACTTTAAATTTATTGATTAATTTAATTATATTGTTGGATATTTTCAAATCTAGGCATTAAATTTAAATAAGTTATTGGAGCTAGGCTAAAAAAAATAAAAAAAACTAAGAGGAGGGTTACATTTGACCACCCTGATGCTCATTTGACCGGACTCTATAGAATTATAGTCCAGTCATCGGTTAGAGATGAGTTTTTGCGCAAATTAGGCAATTTTTTGGTTTTTGGACTTTTAACCCTCTTCATTGGAGATATCTTAATATCCATGAGGTAAGTGCTTCAGTTTTGGTTGGGTTTACTTATGTATGCTTTAATTCTATTTGTTATACTGGTTTTTTTTTTTTATTATTATTATGCTACTCCGTACTTGGAAGGAGGTTATGCTGGTCCTCTATGTATCTTGAGTTTGATTACAATCAAGCAAGAGGTGGATAAAATTAGAACTATCTGAAATCCACTTGCAGAAATTTTATCTTATTTTACTTTTTCTTAGGTTTTCTTGTGTCGTGCGTGATATGTTCACAATCGACTGCCTTGAATTAATTCACATGCAACAATTATTAAATCAAAACTTCATGATACAGTGAACTCGTTTTATGTAATTTAAAACGCTTCAATGACATACCAAAAACGCTTCCCTTTCTCCAAAGAAAACTTTCCAACCTTAGAATTTAAAATCATTTTTATATGCAGCATTGGTTTTTTGAATTTTTGTTACTTTGTTTCTGTGCCCACTGCGGGACCGCAGTGCAGTCTGCAACCTCTCCACATAAGGCTTCTTTACACTTGACCGGCTGCAACAAGTTCTGCAGTCTTTATTCGTATCTCTATCTTAATAATTTATGTCCTTTTTTGTTCCTACCAAATTCTACCAGATTTTAAGTTCCTAAGTTGACATACAGACACTTTGTGATACGTGAATTCTAACATGCACATTAGAATTGTCATTTTATTACATTAATTTTATAGGTTTTTTTTTTTTAGCTACACCTCCTAAACTCATATCTAATCTCATTTTGCTCTCTATAACTCAAAAGTCGTCATTTTACTCTCTAAAACTCAAAGTTTGCTTAACTTTGCGCATTGAAACTCGATTTTAATTTTATTTTGCCCCATGAAACTTGAAAGTCGTCTCTATAAAACTCAAAATTCATTTCACATTGTCTTTAGATATGTTAACTTCTTATGTGGGATTGATTCAGGTGCACCAGGCTAATCAATTTATTTTTTTATTTTTTTGTCTCTTCAATTTTTTTTAAAACTTAATATTATCTGATTGTTGAATGTTAACACATAATGAAGATTTATAATTAAATTTGTTGCACATGTAGCATAGTCTTATTGGATATTGGGTCTCACTTATGTTTTAGGAGGCTGCCTATAAGTTTTAAGAGAAGAGAGAGTCAACAAATTAAAGTGAAATGTTTTTTGTGTTTCAGGAAGTAAAGTGATGACTTTTAAGTTACAGAGGCAAAGTAATCGAAATGAAGTTCCAAAGAGCGTAACTAAAAATAAGCCCAACTTATAATACAAATTTAGGTTGTAGTGTTAATATTTTTCATGTAATTTCTTACACTTTTGTTATCTAACATTTTCAACATTTTATGCATTGTAGACATGACATGTGCTTACAACAAAACTAGTTGCCACACTGCTTATGATTTGTAATAACCCAAGCAACTTCATGTAATTTCTTACACTTTAGTGACCAAGTAATATATGTGTGTATAGTACACATCTGTTCATATTTGAAAATTGCACAACTTCATCACTCAAATAAACATTCATCTACTAGTAGCATTATATGATACCATTTTACAGAAGTGTTATTGATTATATTCGGTATCGTGCTTGTAAACGTACTTTTTGTAACAAAAAAAAAAGTGAAGAAGTTGAGGTTTTACCATAAAATTAATTGGCAATATGAAGAGTAACCCAACAAAGTTTTGCATTGGCTTCTCCCTCACTGATGTGGGACAAATTGTCCTCACATCATCAACTCTCAACACATCCTTGCATGTGTGACGAATTTTTAAGTCTATACGTGGACAACAAATTGGGTTATGTGTGAGCACGTGTGGCCGTTGGGCTTTAACACGACACTTGAGATAATCTGACTCTGATACCATGAAAGATTTAAGTTTCTACTATAAAATTAATTGAAAATATCGAGAGTATCCTAACATTTTATAAGTACTTACATTGACTTGCTCCTCACCCACACATTATCAACTCTCAACAAAAGAACTTGTACACACTATCTAAAAACAAAAATTTTGCTATAAAAATTGAAGCGGGCTTTTGAAACATTTTTTGAAAGAAAAAAAACGTGTTGCTCTCTCGCCATCTTAATTAGATCATCTCCAATACAAACACACTAACATTCTCACAATAAGAAAGTTTAAATTTCGTACGTGATTAATTCAATTATTTGCAATTTTTTTTTATGTATTCGCAGCTCTTTATGAGTTAAATTTTGTCAATGTTATTCTTTATTTATTTTAAAAAGATTTACACCTGAAATTCTTTAAATTCTAAAAAGAGGAAAAAATATGGATGAGGTCAAGACTCAAATTTAGAATGAGGAGTAAGGTAGTGCTAGGGAGACTAAAATTTTAGGACCTGGCTTCTCTGCCCTCCAACTTCTCATACACTCTCATCATCTCCTATTTGTGCGGTCACGGTTAAGCCACGTCAACATTTTATATTACTATTGCTTTTTGTCTTATTATCTCTATAAAAAAATCAATAGAAAATGTTGACGTGGCTTAACCATGACCGCACAAAATATGAGGGGATGAGAGTGTATGAGAAGTGGGAGGGCAGAGAAGCCGGGTCCAAAATTTTAACCTAATTTGGAAACCAAATTATGTAGTTGTTGATGGTTTGATTGTTGCTTAAGTGTCGATTTAAGGTGCTTATTTCCTATTGAAGATATATCATTTGGTTTGTAAATTTAGTTTAAAGATTTGGTCTCCCTAGCATTATTCTAAAGAGTACGTACGCGTTATTTCATAGTCGTTGCCTGCCATGCACTATTTTTGCCAGGGGTCCCACTGAATTGGGTCTTCTTTTTTTTTATTGTATCTTTTATCGCTACCTTGAGGGGGTGATAATGCTCACCAACCTACTTATTATCATTGGATGTGATTAAATTTTGATATTTATATCTATCCACTATATATATATATATATAATCTAAACTCATCTAACGGTGATAAATAATGTGGTAAATATCACCATCACTTGATAGTGGTGAGAAAAATATTCCCTCATGTGCATGTATGACTCTCTGAAAATTTTGATAATTCAACACACTGCAACATAATTTTTGATATGGTACCTGACATAACGACTTTTGATTGGTGGATATTGAAGTTTGGTTTATGTGTGTATTGGAGTTGGTTGGTTATTTGTATATTGAAGTTTGGTTGGTGTGTGTATATTGAAGTTGTTTGGTTGGTGTGTGTATATTGAAGTTTGGTTGGTGCATTTATTGAAATTTGGTTGGTTGGTGTGTTTATAAAAATTTGGTTGGTTGTTTGTATATTGAAGTTTGGTTGGTGTGTTTATTGAAATTTGGTTGGTTGGTGTGTTTATAAAAATTTGGTTGGTTGTTTGTATATTGAAGTTTGGTTGGTGTGTTTATTGAAATTTGGTTGGTTGGTGTGTTTATAAAAATTTGGTTGGTTGTTTGTATATTGAAGTTTTGGTTGGTTGTTTGTATATTGAAGTTTGGTTGGTTGGTGTGTTTATAAAAATTTGGTTGGTTGTTTGTATATTGAAGTTTGGTTGGTGTGTGCATTGAAGTTTGGTTGGTGCGTTTATTGAAATTTGGTTGGTTGGTATGTTTATAAAAATTTGGTTGGTTGTTTGTATATTGAAGTTTGGTTGGTGTGTTTATAAAAATTTGGTTGGTTGTTTGTATATTGAAGTTTGATGTGTTTTATTCGGTTTTGAAAATTTTGTCAAAATTTAATTTTTAGGTCAAAATTTTGTAAAATTAAATTAATATAACCTAATTCAAAGTAAAAAAAAGAAAAAAAAAATCTTACTGAAAAAATTAGGGTTAAAATCACTGTACGACAATTAATACATTTAGGTCTAAAATTTAGGTTCGGATGATTGGATGATGTTCACTGTTTAAAAGACTTAAATATTTGAATTGAGTCCAAACTGATGGAGTTGGTCATAGTTGTTTGCTACCTGTCATCCAACAGATGCTTTTCAGAGAGAGAGATAATGCATGTGTAGGACTTTCTTGTATGCATGCATATCACTTTTGACTGTTTTCTCTAACAGGCAAAGTACCTCGTCCTTTCAATTTGAACAATTATAATTAAGTTACATTAATATTTTAAATTTATTTTTTTATAAAGAAAAAAAAGATAAAAAACAAAGTCTTTCAATTTGAAATATTATAATTAAATCACGTTAATATTTTAAGTTCATTTTTTTATAAAGAAAAGAAAGATAAAAAACAAAGTATGAGAGAAGAGGAGGAAAATAAAATGAGTGAGAATTCTATTTCTTTTCCGCATGCTATTAAAATGCACTGACATTACAGTACATCAGTAAAATCTTTGACTGACAAGGCCAAAGGATTTTCTTAAGAAAGGCAACGGGCTCAATGTTCGTAGTTGAAACCATGGCAAACACTGAGGATTAATTATGATAGGGGATTAATGCGAGAGCAGGATTCCCATATAAATAGGCTTCACCTTCTTCATGTTCTCCACCCACATTCCTTCCTCCGCATTTTAGTCACCAAAGTCCGAAGGTTCTGTGCCGGTTAATGGAGGTTTTTTTTCCGCCACTAAATTTCCTCTTGATTCATCAACAACCACCCAGCCCTGTGAGTTTTGTTCCCCTCTCTTTTTCATATTGTCTTTGAGTTTAGTTCCTCTCTCTTTCTTCATATTGCACTAATTTACCTACATTTAAATTAATTTACCTATTCCAAAAAAATTAGTTTCAAGGGGTAATGACAAAGAAAACTACAAAATATATTAGAAATGGTGCAAATAAAAATAGAGAATACCGACCTCATCATCGTACGTAGCCGTACTGCTCATCGTTGTCGTCATCCTTGTCAGTATATGGAGGGAAATATGGTGGAAGTGGTGGATGAGTCTGTGCCTATTGATGGAGGTTTTTTCCGCCACGATATTTCCTCTTGATTCATTTACAACCACCCAGCCCTTTGAGTTATGTTCTTCCACCATATTGCTCTCCATTCTTCCACCATATGTCCCTCCATATACTGATGACCACAACGAGAAGTAGTACGGCCACGTATGACGACGAGGTCGGTGTTCTCTATTTTTGTTTGCACCATTTCTAATATATTTTGTAGTAGATTTCATTGTCATTACCCCTTGGAGATAATTTTTTTTGGAATAATTTAAATGTATGTAAATTAGTACAATATTTTATAGGCTCTTGAAATTGGGGTGGGTTGAGATGAGCAACAAAACCAAATCATGCTTAACGATGAATTGACTAAAGTAAAAAATAAAAAAAACGGATGGATGGATTCGAGCGACCAGTGAGGGAAAAAGATTAAATTAACCCAATGTTGTCTCTTAATTTTTATCCAATGTCTTTTTTGGTTTTTCTCAACTTTTTATATTCTTCTTCTTTCCAAAAGATTATGAATTACACAATACATCTAAATTGACCTATGTATTAGTTACATGATATTTATCACAAACACAAAATTAATTTATCAAGAAGAAATTACCAGTTGATGGAGGTTTTTTCCGCCACCATTTTACAGCTCACACCCAAAAGCCGAACCTTAACTATCGTTCTGTCGTGCGAGCTCTCTCTCTCTGTCTGTCTCTCTCTCTCTCACAGACAAAGCCATGTCCAAGATCATATCCCAATCTGAAACTACAGCCTCCAGGTACGACGCAGGAGCAAGTTCCATGGAGTGGCGTCCGTTGATAGCTATCGATGCGAACGTCCAGATGCAGAACCCTAAAGGTATGATTTGTGTTTATCTAGACTTTTTCCTTTTTTATAATTGTTAGTTTACGCTCTAACACCCTAATGTCGAACCCTAACTTGATTTCTATCACTCTCCTGCCTATCTCCTCTATTCTCTCTCAGACGAAGCCATGTTCGACGAAACAACCATGGTCGATGATGGTATGCTTTTATTCTCCATTTGGCTAATTTTCAATTCAGTATTATAACCTTTGGTTAGATATGTTAATGTTATAGCAACCACGCTAACAAAGCGTATGGGGTATACAGCAAGCAAGGGACGATGCGTGTGAGAAAATCAGTTTTAGGGAGGGGGAGACTGATAGAGTAATACATTTGTTTTTTTTCTGTTCGATATGTTGAGCATCTCCAAGAGGTTTTTAGTTTTTAGCTAAACTAGATAGTGAATAGAATCGAAAACCTATTTTTGTTGGTCTTTAACTTAGTATCTCCAACAATACTCTTTATTTTAAAGAACCCATAATATTTTAAATTGTTTAGCTTTGGTGAAATTCTCTCTTTATCTATAGAGTTACTATTCATTAAGTTAAACTACCAAGCATTTTATAGAGTGTATATTCATTGGAGCAAGGTTTTGTTGGGATTTTGCTAAAATAATTAGCTAATGTTCTTTTAAGGAGTCTCATGGAGATGCTTGATATTTGAAAAGAGTGATTTAAATTTCCGAAACCCAATGTCGGTTTTCTCTCGCTTATATGAATCACAATTATGCTCTACCATTCACCCACCCCAACTCTTATAAATTGCTCTCTCTCTCACACACAGATGAAGTAATGGACAAATCTAAAGCTACAGTCCAACCAAAACCAAGTTGGTTCGATGATGATGACTACATTGTCCAAAGTCTCAATGGTATGCTTTTGATTTTTGTTTTGGTATTAAATCCTCAATTTCTCCCTAATGAATATGAATGCATCTATTATCCTTAATAGTCCTTCGTTTAGTGTCTTTGTAGTGCTTAAGTAGTTAATGTGTGTCTTGTTCTAGTGTATTCATTCCTAGTAATCGAGTCTAAAGTTCCTTGGCACTTTGAAAGTAGTCCCTTGTCCGAACGTAAGGTAATGAACAGTAAACAGCTAGTAGAGATGGTGCACGCTTCAGGTCCTACTTGTAGTTATAGGTGGAAGGCATGATGGATGCATTTCAAACAAACATATATATATATATATAAGGAATTATTATTGGCACTCGAAAAATCTCATTTTGCACTCCAAACTCTATAATTAAAAAGAAAAATACACTTGTAAAGAGTATAGAATAAGATTTTTGGAGTGCTAATAACAATTATATATATATAAACTCATGGAAAAAGCAAAATCCACGAAGTGCAAGCATACCAAGAGAAAATTACAACAATGACACTTTCATTTGCAGTGAAAGTTTCGATCATTGTTGTAATTCTCTTAGCTTTGGATATGCCTACACTTCGTTGATTTTGCTTTTCAAGTTAGGTGGCATGGCTTTGCAATATCCTAACGTGTTTCTAATGGACGTTCATGTAGAAGAAGCATTTATGAGCCGAAGTGCTCTTTAGAAAAGTTGTCCCATAAGGGTCTGATGTTTTAACACTGGATTTAGTTTATACGTGTATTCATGTTTTTGTAGCAAGAAAAAGTCTTACGGGCCTTGAGATGATATTTTACTATTGTTATTAATATTTTGTATTATAATTATGAAACTTTAAACAAACAAATGAAGAGGAAATTATACAAAAGGCGATTAGAGACCCAATGACTTGACTCCAACTGCGAAAAAAGAGCAATTACTGTGAAGTTTGTTGTAAGGAAGTTGAGGACCACAAGAGTCACAATTGCCCGTACTTTGTTTTGGTCCCAAAGGGCGCTCGTGTTGGCGAACACTATGATATAGTTTGCACAGAATGTGGCAAACACTGTGATACATGTCTAAGCTCACCACATTCTATGCAAACTATATCACAGTGTTCGCCAACACGAGCGCCATTTGGGACCAAAATAAAGTACGGGCAATTGTGACTCTTGTGGTCCTCAACTTCCTCACAACAAAATTCACAGTAACTGGACTTTTTTCGCAGTTGAAGTCGAGCTATTAGGTCTCCAATCGCCTTTTGTATACCTTCCTCTTCATCTGCTTGTTTAAAGCTTCATTGTTAGAATACAAAATAAGAATATTAATAACATATTATCTCAAGGCCCGTAAGACCTTTCCTTGCTACAAAAATATGAATACATGTCTATACTAAATTGAGTTGTAAAACATTAGGCCCTTATGGGGACAACTTTCTAAGGAGCACTTGAGCGCTTTTCGTACAAGTATGTCCCCTAGAAACACGGTAGGAGAGCGAATTCTACCCAATTAACCAACTATTAACTACTGAAGCATACAAAAATAATGCAAATACACTAGAACAATACTACTCATTAACTAGAAAAGTAGTGCGAATACACTAAACAAAGGACTATAACCCCTTTAATTCAGTTTAGACTGAAGCAACAAACATTGGCATTGAAGAACTGAAACAATAACTTCACAGGGCCATAACCCCTTTAATTCAGTTTAGACTAAAGCAACAAACTAAGTTCATCTTAAACTTTAGCTTCAACAGCAACATAAGGAACAATATTACATGACCTTGGAGCAGAAGCGATTAATGCTCTGCTAACAATCCCTTTCACCCTAGCATCCAATTGGAAGTGGTTGGAAGTGGACGGTCAACATGCTCGGGTAACTTGTAGCAAGAGCTTCATTCATCGAGAACAATAATTTTTTTTTAAAAAGTTCCCGAATATCTTGCAACATAAATCTTGTACACTTCATAGCCAATTTGCCGTGATAGATACTTGAGTCTACGCTCTTTCGAAAATCGAACACGAGTTCGTTCACTATCGACTTCTGCCTTTTGAATTAGTTTAGTAACAGATGATTCTTTTTGGAAAACAACTCTTTAAATGTAATAATTGCCACGCAATTTGGCCAAAGGAGTCAATAACATTTGCCCAGATTATGGGACTGTAGCATTTGAAGGTCATCCTTTGGCCAAATTGCGTGACAATTATTACATTCAAAGAGTTGTTTTCCAAGAATAATCATCTGTTACTAAACTAATTCAAAAGGCAGAAGTCGACAGTGAACGAACTCGTGTTCGATTTTCGAATGAGCGTAGACTCAAATATCTATCACGGCAAATTGGCTATGAAGTGTACAAGATTTATGTTGCAAGATGTTCAGGAACTTTTAAAAAAAATTTAATTGTTCTCGATGAATGAAGCTCTTGCTACAAGTTAATCGAGCATGTTGACCGTCCACTTCCAATTGGATGCTAGGGTGAAAGGGATTGCTAGCAGAGCATTGATCGCTTCTGCTCTAAGGTCATGTAATATTGTTTCTTCTGTGCTGTTGAAGTTAAAGTTTAAGATGAACTTAGTTTGTTCAATCTAAATTGAATTAAAGGGGTTATGGGACTACTAGAATTTTGGCTAAAAAACACCTTTTTCATTGGTGTCTATTGTCAATTGTGGACACTTACATTGGTGGTAAACCTTAATTGCCACCAAGCAGCAACTAAATTAGAGAACATGTCCTATGTAGAGGACTCTATTGACACAAATATCCACTTTGGTTGGATCAATAATTCGAACATCCATTACATCTTCATAGTTTCCATCGTCAACCAAATTTGCAATCACTTAAAAGTTATAAATTCTTTATAAAGTATGATGGCTTACCGTAACTTCAGTGTCTTGAAAACTTTATTTGGTATGCAGACTTGCATGACCAATAACTTGAACAAAAACATTTGATTATCAGTAGTAGTGACAAATATAAGGAAGGGAAAAACAAACGATGGAAGACAGAGTTTTGGATAGCAGAAGATTAGCAAATGTGATTAACATGTGAAAAAAAAATTATAAGCAATTGAGAGCGAGATTGAGATAGAAAGACACAGATGTTACACTTTTATCGTATGAAATACAACTTCATATGTATACTCTTAACTGGAAGATTGAAAACCATGCTATAACCAAAACTAAAGAGAACAGTAATGTCATAGCATGGGGAGAAAAAGAAGAAAAAGAACATACTTTCCAGCTTCACCAAGTATACTCTTAAGGTCTGAATGATCGTCAGGTAGGTTCTCTACCAAAACAGTGCACCATAATGCACAAATTAGATGCTTGAAGTTTCCGAAAAATAATACATAAAAAAATTAAGAACAAAAACTTAAAAAATTAAAATCAAGTTCGAAAGGATACCTTTGCTATCAACTTTTTTGTGACCGGTAACAACAAAATTTAATTAAGACTGCAGTTTATGTAAAAGCTCCAAATTTATTTCACAAATCAACAAAAAGAGCTTTAGAGAATGAAAGATTACCAAAACCAAAAGAGAAACTAAGAATTGGAGTTAGCTTTATGAAGAGATTACATGTAACATAAAAATGAAATAAGACCAACCAAAACACAATAAATAAAAATAAATTCCATGATAATACTACCAGACTAATTATGGAGTAGTAGCAAGTAACGATGATAAGAAATTACCAGAGCTTGGCTCCAAAACAGGGCACTCTATTCTTATAGTTGTCATGATCCCTCAATCAGCTTTCTCTAACCTTGAAACATATTAAAAAAAACAGCAAATCAAAACTGAAGCATATTTCAAGCATAAAACAAACACTAAAAACAAATAGTTTTCCAGTTTCTGGACTACAAACATAGAGTACAAGAAGAGCTATCAGACATTACAGAGTAATCACATATGTTAAATAGTATTTCACAACAATGTATATATGTTAAATAGTATTTCACAACAATGTATATATGTATATTTCAATAATAATTACAGCTACTAGAACAAGTAACAAATTAAGAAGTGGAACATTAACAACTTACTTCTTCACCGGGTATTACACCCACACTCAAATTAATAAATAAACATACTTCCACAATTCAACTTTTTATCAAACTTTAATCAGATAAATAAAATTATTGCCAAAGAACTTGCTAACTCACCTTCAAACCATTCGCAATTTCCATCTTCTCCTCCATAGTTAATTCTTTCCACCCCTTGACTGTCAATGGAGCGCTACTTGATCTTTAATTACATCAAGCAAAGAAAAATCATTAGTATTAAAATAAAAAAACTGTTTCAATCATTTAACCCTTGCATGTAAACTCATGGTTGAGGCTGACAAGGCTTTCTGGTTGCAAACGTTTTTGTTGTGGTGATGGGGTTGAACCAGCTCCGACCTCATCACACCCATTGCCGACCAATCCCTAACAAGTTCTCATCAAAATTTCTCCAAGTTTCAATTTTTGAACCAACAAAAGCTAAACATTAACAGAAAAACATCAACAACCAAATAATATCAACCCAATCAAAAACCATAAAACCCAGAATTCCAATTACCATATTACGCATCAAAATCGCCCACCCAGGCTCCAATTAGTCCTTATCGACAAAGGAAAACATCCCAACGTGGTACTCAAGACCGTCGGAGGTCCAACTCCGGCAGGCTTGGCCGGAAGACCCGCGGTCATCGTTTATTAGATCTGAAATTGAGGAAATTCGGCCACGAATTTGTAGAAACTAACTTGGGGATTGGAAAGAGGACGGGAAGAGGATTATGGAGGTATAATATGACGGTCATTGGCGACCGGTGGACGGCGGCGCTGTCTCGTGAGAAGAGGGGGAGAGAGGATACGGGAGGGAGGAGAGAATGAATGGGGAAGGGAGGAGAGACAGAATGATGGGGGAAGAGAGGAGAGAGAATGTAGGAGAGGAGTTTGTCGTTTGTTAAAGGGGAGAGAACATTAATAGCCTTTTATTTTCCGTTTATTTTTTTTATTTTTTTTTAAATTTAAAATTTTAATTGTATTTTGCACGAAAGGGTTAGCTTAGCACCGATCATCGGTGGCTCTCAACTTAAAAGCCACCAACCTCAGCTTAAAAGACACCAAAAATAAACAACAGCGGTATTCTTTTTTACATCGACACGGATAACAAATGGTGTCTTTACAATGGTGTCCTATAGCCCTTTTTCTAGTAGTGTGGCCCTGTGAAGTTCTTGTTTCAGGTCTTCAATGCCACTGTTTGTTACAGATGGTAGTATTAAAAGTGGAACCTCTGTTGATTACTTGAAGTTCTTGTTACGAATTGAATTTCTTGTTTCAATTCTTCAATGCCAATGCTTGTAGCTTCCTATGTTGATTACTTGAATTTCTTGTTCCTTTCGTTACATATGATTTGCTGTGTATCCATGTTCATTGTACAAGACCATGAAAATGTCCGACAATCTCGAGTCCCATGGATGAAGAAACAACTCTCACATTGCCAGCCTTTCATATTCTCTGTTGGAGTTCATGAAAAGTTGGCAGCTAACAGTAACAGCCTTGTTTAACCAATTCTATGAGATTTTGATACAGTAGTACATTAATTTGTCAAAGCATCCCCCTCCATCCCAAGCATGAGATTGGCAAAACATTAGAGGAGAAAAACTAATCAAGCATTGGACTTGGCATAATCAGAGCAGCAGCAGCAGCAGTAGTAGATTTGCCATACAAGAATCAATCAATGTTAGAGAGAAATGATGCCAATGCCAGTCATTGTGAAACTACCTCCAAGATTAATGCTTCTGAGTGCAAACTCGGCGCCTTCGCCTTTGCTAGTCATTCGCATATGGATGCCCCGTCAAGCATGCATTCCTATGGCTTTAATTCACAACACTTTCAGTTGGATGCATGATTTCCAGGAGGCCAATGAAGAACTAGTGGAGTGAGTAAAACTAAACAATCATGATGGATGCCTCCTAATGAACACCTATAATTCTTCATTGAAATATGCAGCATTCATGGGCGATATGCAATCATCATGTTTGACGTTACCGCTAGGTCGACATACAAGAATGTCCCTACATGGCACCGTGATCTCTGCAGGTGAAATTAACGGGCAAGGCGTGCTGAAAATTACGGGCCAAGTCTCTAATTAGACGTTAAAATTGACGAATAAGTTAAATTGATGCAATTTAAAAGTCTGGTGGTATAATATGCAAAAATTGAAACTTGTGGATCGTTTTACAAATCACCCCGAAACCTTGTGCTATAAAATGCTTTAATTCACAACACTGGGGTATACGACGATATGTGTGAGAAAATCAGTTTCAGATCAAGGTTTGGTTTTGTTGGGGTTATGCTAAAATAATTAGCTAATCTGTTTTTAAAGAGTCTCTTGGAGATGCTTTATATTTGAAAAGAGTTATTTAAATTTCCAAAACCCAGTGTTGGCTATCTCTCGCCTATAGCTATAAGAATCACAATTACGCTCTGCCTCTCACCACCCCACCTCTTATATATCGCTCTCTCTCTCTCTCACAGATGAAGTAATGGGCAAATCTAAAGCTACCCTCAAACCAAAACCAAGTTGGTTCGATGATGATGATGACTACATTGGCCAGAATTGTGGCGGTATGCTTTTGATTTTTGTTTTAGTATTAAATCCTCATTTTCTCCCTAATGAAGAATATGAATGCAACTATGTACGGGTGGGTTCAAAAAACCAAAAACCAAAAAAAACCGAAAATCAAACTGAACCGAACGAAAAAACCGAACCGAATTGAAAAATCGAACCGAACCAAATTAATTTTTTTATTTAATTATTTGTTTTGGGTATTATTTTCTAAACCCAATTTTTAAGTTAAAATGTGCTAAACCCAATGTGTTGCCAAACTTTAAGCTCAAAATATTAAAAAAAAATGCCTATAAAAACTCTAAACCCTAACCTATTATTTATCCCCCATATAAGGTTCCGGAACCAAACCTCCTCCTAAAGTACCTACATCCATCTCCATAACACTGTCTACTTCTGCCTCAGCTTTCTTTTCCAAATCTACTCTCATATAACATGTAACAGAATCCATAAACATTTATTTCGGGTAGATTACTTGGGTAATTTGTGATCGAAAAGAATCCAATACACACTAAATAAATCCACCCACGCATTACTTTTTTACTAATCAAGTTGTCAACATCCAGTTACAAGAAAACAACCTTGATCTTTGAACAACATCATACAATTTAACTTTTCTAAGTCATTTGTACGATTTTTGTGTTGTGAGGTTGTTAGTTTGGACTTTGGAAGACTTGATTGATGATTTTAGTTCAACTTTAAATGTTTATTTTCATTGTCTTTGATTCTAGTTATAATGCTTATGTTATGATTGTGTTGGATATGTTAAAATTTAAAATTTCAATGTTTTTCATTTTAAAAAAACAAAAAACAAAAAACCGAAACCGAACCGAAACTGAACCGGAAAAAACCGAACCGAAAAAAACCAAAAAAAAAATGAACCGAACCGAACCGAACTGAAATTTCGGTTTGGTTTCGGTTTTGGCAAAAAACCGAACCGATTTAAACCGAACCCACCCTTACATCTATGATCCTGAATAGTCCTTTGTTTAGTGTCTTTGTAGTGTAGTCGCACTACTTTTCTAGTGCTTGAGTAGTTAATGTGTAGTCTTGTTCTAGTGTATTTCTAGTGTATTCACACTATTTTTGTGTGCTTCAGTAGTTAAGTTAATTGAGTAGAATTCGCTGCGAAAGTGTCTGTCATTCTTGTAATTTTCTCTTAGCTTTTGGTTATGCCTGCACTTCTTTAGTTTTGCTTTCAAGTTAGGTGGCATGGCTTTGCAATCTCCTAACGTGTTTCTAGGGGATGTAATTGTAGCAAAAGCGTTTATGAGCCCAAGTGCTCATTAGAAAAGTTAGCAAAAGCGTTTATGAGCCCAAGTGCTCATTATAAAAGTTGTCCCCATAAGGATCTGATGTTTTACAACTCAATTTAGTTTAGACATGCATTCATGTTTTTGTAGCAAAAAGTGTTACTAATTGTTATTAATATTCTTAGTTTGTATTCTAAAAATGAAACTTTAAACAAGCAGATGAAGAGGAAGGTATACAAGAGGCGATTGGAGACGCAATGGCTCGACTCCAACTGCGAAAAAAGCGTAACTACTGTGAAGTTTGTTGTGAGGAAGTTGAGGACCACAAGAGTCACAATTGCCCATACTTTGTTTTGGTCCCAAGGGGCGCTCATGTTGGGGAACACTGTGATATAGTTTGCACAGAATGTGGTGAGCAAGTTTCTGAGCACGAAGGTGAGCTTAACGTAGACTATGAAGGACGTGCTATTTTGAAGTACTGTGATTGGTGTGAGGATTACCGTAGCCACTAGACTGAAGAATGCGAGTCCATGCCAAAATAGTGAATTGGTCCAGACCTTTTCTTGGTGAGTAACTAGTGGTAAGTTTGTTGGGACTGAGGTGCTGCTGGATGAAGATGACTGGTTCTCATAGTCGGAGGAAGATCGAGTCCCTGTAGTTGTTATGTTTACAAGTCTTGTAAGCGCATCATTTTGGGTGTAATGAATCTAATGATACAATGTTATTTACAAGTCTTGTAAGCGCATCATTTTGGGTGTAATGAATCTAATGATACAATGTTATTTGCAGTAGATGGTTCTGTATATATAAAGAAGGCAACCTTACCTTTTTTTAACTTGTTTCATTGCCCTTATCATTGCTTATGAATTTTTGTGCTAGTAAATTAAATGGTTGGTATGATGACATTATGATGCTCTCAAACTCAATTACTAATTAACTGATCATGACGCTTTAGTTTTTGTGGCATTTCTTGGCAATCCATGGGTAAATCGGATGTGTCATGTAAGTTTTGCCTGTTTCATTGGAGCGACGAACTTTTTGTATGAGACAATTGAGTAGGCAACATTTTACGTTAGCATTTATAGTACGATTTTGCCCACTTTAATTTTCATAATACCATTAAAGGTGCTTTGAGCCATTGCAAAATATTGGTTCTCCTATACCCGACGACTAAAGCATTGCTTGTCGAAAACAGATTGTCGAACAAATGCCCTTGCACAAACCAAGGCGTGGACTGTTTTGTCCCAACAAATGTTTGTATTCCGTTGGGTAAAGGTTATTTGCCCAACGAAATACTGTTTGTCGAACAAATGGTCATTGCTGGTAGTGCAAGAGAACATGAAACATGTCTCTTTTCTCTCATCCACTACTTCCATAGGTGTCGAACATTAGAGGGTTCCTAAGTTGGAACCTTGGAGAACACATGCAAGGAAGATCAAGGGGAAGAAACTTGGAGCATGGAGCTTGTAGGACGGAGCTTGGAGAAGTACCAACAAGGGCTTAAAGCATGCTACAAAGGTAAGCGTCGAAACAAAATATAGTTAGAAACTTAATTTTTTTTTCACTCGAGTAGTATACAGTATTCAAAAGCTTATAAAATATATGAAATTCTGAATTACGTTTCATAATTTCAGATATGCCTAAAAGTTCAAATTTGAAAATTGTGATCCAATCCAATTTTGAAATCACAACACGCATGCCTCAACGTTCTTTTGAATCTTGAAAAAAAAAAGTGAGAAATTTAGGTCGGAATTTGGATGTTTATATATGTGTTGTAAATCGATGATAAAACCTCATGAACAAAATGAAATGAGGTGGGTTCGGCCTTGGTTGACTAAACTCCTCCCTTTGCATGCATTTCTTATGGTCCGAATGTTAATGTAGTTGTTCAGTGAATGACTCCTGAATGTATCTTATGTTGTTTGTTTGGTGGACGACGCAAACAGGTGTTTAGAATATTTAGACATGGTTCCCCGAGCACGTCGTGATAAGCTTCTTATGTGAAATTGTAATGGAAAAAACTCAATTTTTTCTCGTACCTCGCTTCAAGACTGCCAAACAACCATTTGTGACCAAAATCTTTTTTTTTTAATCACCAATGTATCATGAAGCATGTGAACTGAAAGGATTGAATTGGAACTATATGAGCCGGCCTAAGCCGCTGCCCTAGCAGAGCAGGCCCAACGCGCATGGCAGGCCCAAGCTGCGCCACAATCCCTTCGGGCTAGATCTAACGTGCTCCCAACGCCGCACCGCACCCACGCGCCTTGCAAATGGCACGGCCCACTTTTGCAGCCCAACCCGCTTCTACGACCCATTTGGCGATCCAAACTGGTCCAAGAATAGTTCAACCGTCTCGGCTTTAGATTTCTGGACCGACAATTGAACTGGAGGTATTTTCACCCTATTTTTTTTGCAGATTTGACATATCCCAACTCAAATCTCACATCCAAAGTCCATTACACTTCCACCACTCAAGGAGACGCATACCGTCCAAGCTCTTCCAACCCACATGGTGAACAACACTTGTCTCGACAAGTCATAGAGTTGACTAGTGCTCTTGCGTGGCAGGCGACCATGGTGAATCATCCTTTGCAGCATATCGAGATACCGCGTGCCCTGACGAGGTGTCCTGAAGTAGGAGAAAGGCAGACAACGAACCTCTCCAGCAGCGTCTTGGCAAGCAGCCCCTCGACCAGCCACAAATCAAGCGTTCCGGCAGTGTACACTCCCAATTGGGTGATAGGTTAAATAGCTAAAGGGTGAATATGGGTAATGAAAGAAAAGGCTAAGTGATTGGCTTCAAAAGGGTAACTATGGATTATATAACATAAAAGGTTTGTTAGAAAGGCTCAAACGATCTAAACATGGCCAAAATCATCTCCCTAATGTTGCATGACTTAGGATTTCGCCTTGAGAGATATTGAAGCAAGTTCTAGTGAATGATAATACTATCATGAAACTCACAAGAAAGAATATGCAAGAGACTCAAAATCTCACAAGGGTTCACTAAGTTTTCACTTAAAATCCACATATAATTCTCTAAGTTAAGAGCTAGTCATACTAACATTGGTTATTTTGTATAAAATAAACTTAAGAATGATCATGTAAGAATTTGATTAACCATATAAAACAATTAAAATTTCACATATAAAGAACCAACTCAAATAAGTTTGTGACCTAGAAGAAAGCGAATTATTATCATTGACTTATAGAAGATCTAACTAAAATAAAACGACTCAAGAAAAAGAAAATCTTTTTGAAGTTTGGACATTTTTTTTTTGCTTTTATAAAATTTTATGACATTAAATTTTAATTAAATGAGACATTAAAAACTAACAACACAAAGTAAGACCTAAAAAGTATGTAAACGACCAAATCAAAATAACTAACTTTCAGCAAAATCAACTCCTAGCACACTATAATCGGACAAACTATAATCAAACAATGCTTTTGAAAACCATAAATTTTTCGATATTTTTTTTACACACCCTGACCGAGATCAAGGCACGCTGGCTGTCACGTGAGGGTGACGTAGCCATGTGCACAGTGCGGAAGCGATAAAGATAGTAAATATACGAATAATTAAAGACCAGATTACTAGAGTGCACTACTAAACGAAAGTGATAGGAGTTAGTTACAACAGTGAACACTCCTAATCAAAGCATAAAGTCTAGGTGTAGTCCAGTAGGACAAGTACTAGTTACACAGTACCAGGAATGTCATACTATTATTCAAATAGGTCAGAACGGCCGACGATCCCGAGCCACCGACAGTAAGCTTACTTAAAACCTGGAGGGGCGCAAAACAGAAAACGTGAGTGGGCAAAAACAAATGTTTTACAAAATCATTTCATTTATCAATATACTAACCCCTTGCTGTAAAACATGTATAATTTTCCCAGAATCAAGATATAAGTATATACAATATATATATGAAATCATATCAATTCAATTCATGCTTCACATAATCATATTCATATGTATGCCATGCCAAAATATAACAAAGTAAACAATCCATGTAAGAATGATTTCGTAGTAATATGATATGTTAGCCGGAACCCCTGAGGTAGTCTGTACGGCTGAATTCATAGCTCAAAGTTACTCTAGCCGGAGTCACTACAATGACCTATATGGCAACATACTGCACATAAGTTGGAACCACTAAAAAGGGGTTTGTACGACAAGATTGGGTGTAATATAGTTATGCTTAATTTTACTCTCTCATAATAGCCGGACGATGAATCGCTAGTTACCTATGAGTCGGAACCATGAATAAGGTCTGTACGACAAGACTGTGCACTTAAGTTGGATCCAATATGAGCATATAGTGCGGGTGGTGACGTAAATAAACAGGCTTGTACCTCATATCTCTGGCTAATTCACAATCACCCTAGGTGCAGCTTAATGAGCTCAACATTACTTAATCACATATCACATCATTGATGATTCACACAACCAAACATAACTTACCTGAACTCACATGTGCCTCCACATCACCACACATATATATATATATATATATATATATATATGCAACCATGCAATGCATATTCAAAATATAGAAGCATTTGGCATATTATTTCAAAGCATACTTTCCTTAAAAATGCATTTCTGGGAAATATATCAAGTATATAAATATATACTGAAAACAAAAGCCCACTCACTGATATGTCGAAGGGTCTTAGCCCCCGAGTTGCCCTTGGATACGCTCGTCCTCGGGATAAGGTTCACCTATATGCGAATGAACTATAAAACGTTATTTTTAAAGCACATAGGCAAAACTAGCTAATAACTTCTCATACATTGCACAAAATAGGTATATGAATATACCACAGTGATCTACACAACCTTAGGATCATCCCCAAATTTTTAGAAATATTTTTGAACCTCCCATGCGCCGCCACACGTCGGCGGGTGCACGGCAAGACGCGCTACCACGCGCAGGGAATCCGTCAGGATTCCCTAACTGCCGTTAGGAATATTCCGTTAAAACCAACGGAAACTGTCCAACTAACTAATACCGTGAGAATATTCCGTTAGACTTGACAAAATATTCTTCCATCTCCTACCTCCAGCTCCGGCAACCGTCGTCGGCGCGGAAAACTGGGCAAATTTTCCAACTTCTTATTCTAGCTTATTTCTGCACAATTTTTCATGCAATTACCATCAAAATGAAGTTTAGGAGGTAGAGAATTGCGTTATACCTCTTTCACGCCTCGATTCACGTGAAATTACGTTGGAGAAGTCCTCGAACTCCGGCGACCTCTGCAAAGCTCCGTTTTCGAGCTTCCTGTGGTCCAAATCCTACCAACGATGCACTCCGAGCATCGTGAGGACCTCATTGAGCTCACTGTGGTCCTAAAATTCACAAAAACTTAAGGGTTTAAAAGTTGATGAATAGTGCCCAAGTCGAAGATCCACTTTCCGGGGTTTTCTGACGTCCAAAATCATTCCAATTTATGCCAAAACAAGCAAGAGGACTAAAAGATTACCTTTTGAGCCTTAGAACGTCTTGAAACCTCCACGAACTGGTTTGGTATATTGTACACCCACGGTTCTCTTTCAAACTAGGGTTTCTCGAAGGTTTCCTTGCTGAAAATGGGTACCACTCAACTCGTAAGGATCCTAGGAACACACTGAAGACCTCAGAACCTTCGATCCGTGCAGATTTTGGGTTTGTTTGAGTGTGTCCGTACGAGTTCGAAGAGAGAGAGAGTGAATCGAGAGGGAGAGAGAGAGTGAATCGAGAGGGAGAGAGAGAAGTCCACGGGATAGAGAGAGAGAGAAGGTATGTGTGTGGTCCAAAAGCCACCAATCAAAACCAACAATT